ATAGCTCAACATATTTCCATCTTACATGAAGCATTTTACTTTTAGGTGAGTAAAGTACTAGTCAGAACACAACGCGAGCCACAAGGAAAGGAAATTCATACGGTAAAATTATTAATTTTTTTATTGTTCTTTGACTAAAGTTTAAATGCTTCATAGAAATTTTTGAATTTCAAATCATCAAATGTCTGTTTAATTTCCAGGAACATCTATCACCAGAGGATATTGCTAATGAAGTACAGGATTTGGAAAATGAATTAGAGGGACTTCAGGTATTTAAACATTCTTTTTAAATACCGAATTCTCATTCTTTTTAAGTACTTAAAAAATAAAAATATGCTTGTAATATATGCTTTTTTTAGCTTAAAACTGTCCTGAAATCAGATTGCGTATTTTTGCTTCACAAGTAGTGTTCACTGTATTGTAAGTGCTTAATTCTGTTATGAAATCAATTGAAGCTGATTAATTCCTTCTTTATTCACATTTGAATTTCAGGCTGCCCATGCTGAAGAGATGGAATCTATGCAATCCAAATTTGAATATCAATTAAAATTACTTCGAGAACGTCTGCAGCATGAAGAAAATCGGCGGAAAAAAGTACAGGAGGAGTTGCAAACATTGAATGTACGTGTTGCAACTCCTTATTTGAAAATAACAAATACAAAAATCAAAAAAAAAATAAGACAAAGAAATGAGAAAAGAAAAGTGAAAATTGGGGGAAAAATAAATTGGGGAAGATTTAAATTGTATTAATTTCAAAAAAAAAAATTTTTTTTCCAGTCTTTAAATGATCATTCGTTATCTGCAATGAAGAAAACTCATGAGGAAATGTTGGCGGAACAAAGACGACATTATGAGGAGCAAATTGCTGCACTGCATGAAGAGTATGCAGCAGAATTGCAGGAAGAAAAGAAAGCTACTAGGTTTCGTTTGATTTTTTTTTTCAAATTTACAAGTAGCTAAGATTATTAAGATCTACTTAAGATCATTCACAGAAAGTTATTTTAAAAAGGTAATCATAATTTTTATCAAATACTATTAGTGTTATTTTTATTAAGAAGAATTTAATCTGCTCTGTCAAATTTCAGAAGATTCCGTTCCGCAATTTTTTACTTTCTTCCTTCTTGACGATCTTATCTTTTTTATCGTCTTCGTTTTATTTCTAGTCTATTTAATTAATACAATAGTTAGTAGTAAACTTTGTACAGTGAAGTTAGCTTCTTTATTAAATTTCAGAATGGCGTTAGATGCTGTACAACGAGCGCATGATGCTGAATTGAGAAATATTAATGAAAAAGTTCGCAGTATTGGTGTTAACAGTGTAACCAAAACTCAAACAAACATTTCTGCGGAATCAAGAACGGATATACAGTCTACAAGACAGAGGTAAGCAACAGGTCGTCCATCGTTCATTAAGATAATTTAATTACTTTACTTACTAGATTATTTCTTTTTTTTTTCTCTTTTCTTATTACAGCAAAATGTTGGAGCAAATGAGTGCTGAATTAGCTCAATTGTCGGCGTTGTACTCGGCAAAATGTCTCGAGAATTCTCAGCTCGATGAGAAGATGTCTTTATTGCTGGCCGACAAAGAAAATCAGTCATCTTTAAAGTACTTGAAAAAATTGGCGCTCTCTTTTTTTTTTTTGTTTATTTGTTTGTTTGTTCATTTTCGTCTTTCATTTTTGAGCATAACTTTCCAACTATCCATGGTATTTGAAATAAATAGATAAAATAACAAAACAAATAAATAAACAAAGGAAAAAAGAATTTATTTGCATTTTAATAAATAAATCGAATAACAAAAAATTTTGTTGAATGCAGATTTTCAACATTTTTACTTGAAGTGATGTAGAAGTGCAAAATCGACGCTTGTATCGTGAAATTCGGCAAAAAGACATAATAATTGAAGAGCTGAGGAAGACGGTGGCATTTCTGCAGCGCCGAGCTGTTGATTTAACCGGTGAAGAACTTGCAATTAAATATGGTAGGCTTACAATCATCTTTAGTTTTCTAATATTTTACGTAAATTTAACACTCTGTGATCGGATTAATCTCTAGTAAGTAATCCAAGGATAATCTAGAAATCCAATATAGTCTTACTATCTAGGAAGCAGGTCATCATGATGACCTATTACTTCTTGGTTTTTCCATTTATAAGGTCATTGATAATGCAGATGAAATTCACTAGTGGGTCACTACAAAATCACTTATACTTATTTTACTTACACACTTTTCAAGGCTTTTTTGGCTGCAAGTGCAAGGGACCTTTGGCATCATTATCATCCTTTGCTTCTTGGTAATTTACATGTCGATGCATTTCTTCAAACATATTTCTTTTTTTTTTTGAAAGTTACTCGATTTTCGATAAATTCCAATTAAAAAATTTAAGCTGTTTTGCAGAATTACCAAGACGACAGAATCGGTAAGCTTCCATACGCGTAAAAAAGTTTGAAATAAGCTTCCATACGCGTAAAAAAGTTTGAAATTGGCTTGGCGTTGTGGACTTAGATTTTTCTAGTGCTAAGTTTAAGATCACCAAAGTGTGAAAAAATCCTCTTGTATACATATTCATAATTCATCAAATTTCTAACATCAATTTCAAAAATTTTCAAGTTTCTCTCTTCATGGTGATCATAGACAGTAAAATAATGAATTATTATTGTTCATTCAGTTAGCTCATGCATGCTTATATTATTTCCAAATTCTATCTTTCTTAGTAAAGCATGTTGCCTGAGCTTTACTAGCAACTTTCATTTCTTGCTATCAATCTTCCTTTTCTGCCAATTTGCTTTATGCCTTCATTTCAATACTATCTTTATTTATTTATTCATTTGTTTATTTATTTTTTAAATCAAAATTCCATAATGATTATTTGGTTATTATGCTGTTATAAAAAAGGATAATATTAGTTGGGATTTATATCAAGCGGCTTATTGCTGTTAGCATGCATCATCTATTTGTTGTGATTGTAAAAATAGTACTTTTCATACAATTAGTGTGCTATCATTTTTTTTGTGTCATTGAAATATTTATTTCAATGTTATTATTTTTATCTTCATATTTTCACGTTACAGAGGAACGCGCAGACGTCGTATCGCTATTGCTAGAGGAATCGATGACACCGCAAGCAACTCAAACTCATTCCCCAACTCTTCAACAACAGCAGATAGCACTCAGCTTTCCATCACTCAACAACA